CACACACACACACAAATACACAAACACAACAGATCAAAAGGCAATCAACCATACATGCTCAATGGAGCACATTCGTAGTCAACGAAATCGAACACCAGACGAGAGAATTATCACGGGCACCAGGTCTTTAGAATACATGTAAAGTTGGGATTATGTGTATACCATTTATGTGGACAATAGGAGCCCCAGTTTTCGTACTGCCCAAATCCCTGTTGTCGAACAAGTCTGACTCGGGTTTGCGGATCTTTCTATTTGATCGCTTTGGTTCTTTCGTGAATTTCATTAAAATTTACCTATGGCAGTTTTATGCAGAATGCATGTTTATTATTATCTTAGTAGTACCAGCATCTGTGATGTAGCTGTAAGGCGTTTCGCTATTGCAAGCAGAAAACCCCAGTAAGAGAATTTTTATCAAGTACCGGGTATCTTGATCTTTCTGCTGAGATGCCGTATCCCTCTCAGCCCGGACCGGCCCTGCGAGGCAGGATCGAAGCCCGCCTCCTAAATGATCTAAATTGTGCTGATATGGACGTAAAACACCTACAATATATAAAAGCTTAGTTTTAAACTCAACATTAATGTCTGTGGCTGGAAACGAACCCAAAGCCACCTAGAGATGCAAAAAGAACAAAAAATGCTGTTATGGTATGTTTCGCATGCAACGCCCTTTTCACGACAGTGAGGTAATAACTTAGGTGGCCAGACATCCAGATTCAATTTCCAACTTCGATAAGACTTAGATTGGTGGGAAGCCTTTGAAAAACCCCACCGACTGACCCAAGTTCAAGAGTACCCCATAAGAAGGTTTTGGTGCGTACCGTTGACCAGTGTGATACCAGCTGAGCCAGGAACTTACCCAAAGCCTTCGATCTACTCGATATACCTTCTGAATTCGAACATTAAGAAAACCACGAAAACAACAACAACAACAACAACAACAACAACAACAACAACAATAACAACGAAACAGAAAAACATCACCACATACACACAAACGCATGCACAAAGAAGTAAGCAAACAAACAAACAAACAAACAAACAAAACAAATAAACTTTAAAAACCGAAACCATTTACAACACAGATTAAAATTGATGGTTAGCTACGACCACTGGATACATGGTTCCCGCGTATAAAATACTTTTGGGGGGCTCTCGGGGTCTGTGGGTGGTTGGCGGGTGCTCTGGTGTAGTTTGCTCCTTCTTTCCTATCAAACACCTATCGTCCTTATCTGCCCTCCTTCTTTTTTGTGTTTGTTACTCTCTTGTAACACTTCTAATCTTCGGCACTTACATGACCTCATTGTGTTGCAAGTGCCGTAAAACTCTTACTAAAACTAAACTCTCTTGGTCTAAAGGTTACGGTGTTCGCCTCTCATTCAATAGGTCCAGGGTTCGAAACCTGACAGCGATGGACAATTTTCTTCTCTAATTAAGTTCTGTTATCTGCATTTGTCTCGATCTCCTGCTCCCAATCAGCCCCCCCCCCCCCTTGCCTCCTCTTCTGGGCTCTTGACTCATTCTGCAGCCTTTCTACTGCTACTCGCGCTTGGCCTTCTTATTGCTGTTGTCTTTCAGCCACACCCCTGATCCTGGGGTAGGAAATATCTAACACCTAACCTTCTCAGATTAGGGCAAAAAATCTCTGAGATTCTGTGTGCAAGTTGCGCACGTTAAAGAGCCCTTTGTGGTCCAAAATCGATAAAAGTAGACTTCGGCGCCACCCGGGCAAAATTCAAAATTAATTCCTACCAAACTGAAAATGTTTAATGTGTCCCGCGCGCTCATATGACCTTATGCAGTTGCGAGCGCCGCAAAACACTTACCTAAACAACAAATGCTTAGTTTTTGCTAAGTACCCATACATTTTTTTCAATTACATAACCTACACTGGGAAGTTCTGGGTTCACATTCAAGAGGTCTCCTAATTTTTCTGGTCCATTCAATCTCATCGTGATACATGTATTGGCAGTCGCGGTACGAAAGGCTCTTCCTTCAACAGAAATGTGTTGTAAATTGTTTCTAATGGGGCTTCCGGGTTGTTTTTTTTAGAAACTTCTCCGCTTTTATTTGTTAATACGAGGTCTGTTGATTCTAAAATAAATCACCAGTTTTCCCACATCAGCTTTACCAACAATGGCGTAGATGGCAAGTTTGTCGATGACAACATCACTAACAATACTAGTAATTGCAAGTCGTAACAATAGCAACAACAACGACAACAACAGCAACAACAAAAACAACAACAGTAGCAACAACAACGACAATAGCAACACGAACAACAACAACAGAAACAACAACAACAACAACAACAACAACAACAACAACGACGACGACGACCACGACCACGACAACAACGACGACGCGACAACGACGACAACCACCAAAAAAAATCATCTTTATTAAAAATACAAGCATAGATACTAAACAACAGAAGCAGTAACAACAATACCAACAACAACAACAACTTCAACGACGACGATGGAAAGATAAGACAACAGCAGCAGCAGTTGCGACAACAACAACAAAAAACTTCGACAAAGACAGTAATAATCAGCAGCAACGATGAAGACAATAACAAAATAAAAACAAACAAAAAACAAAACCAAACCATTATCAATACACGTAGAAGGCCTACATTAGTTAACATTGTATTAGAATAAAGACAGAGTGAGCTTCAAACACGCGATCTTCCTGTACTCACTAACTTATTAAAAAATACATGACTATCGTCTCAAATAGGCTCCGTTTTCTCAACAGAATATTTTAACTCCCCATTGACACACAAACACACTCTTACATTCATTTACAGGCCTGCAAGTGTCTATGATCTCTATGTTGTTGGGTTTTTTTTTTAGCAAAAGACGATCACCTGTGGAAAAAAATACTGCTTTCGCCTTCTGCCTTTCAAAAGGTTATAATCCTCTCAGCTCCATTATATTATTGAATACCAACAAAATATTCATATTTATTCCAATAAAGAGGTGGTAAAAGGAGAGAGTTATATATTATAATATAGTCTGTATAGTAAAAGTCTGCGGGGCATAATATTATATCAATGCAACAGAGGTATTTCCCTTTACGAATGACTGGGTGACAATATGGGCTCTTTAAAAAAAAAAAATTTCTTCCGAAATCATTATCTCCATTCTTTGAAGTTAGGAAAGAAGAAAGTATTCTTTTGTAGAACGAAAGTTTTTCATGCCTGACAATGTTGCTTTCTTTATCTTAAGACCTCTTGAATGGGCGCTGGCAACGACAGCGTGGGTTTGTGAGCATTTTTTTGTATCAACCTACTTTTTTGCAATTCTTTAAATGCACCTTGCTGTCAACGGCCATGTTCCTTTTCTTTTCCTTTTTTCCTTAGCTGAAATAAAGGGCAAACAAAAGAGCCTTTATCTACCCCCCTTTAACTTACAAAACACGTTCGTATGTATACCATCGAGCACACACATGCACAGCACATAATCCATTTCGTTGCATAAAGGAGTGTCTTTGTTTCATTCC